AATGCAGCTCTAGAAACTGAAAAACACAAGGAATGGATTCTCCCTTAGTCTCCAGAGGGTGCAGGGCCCTGCTGACATCTTAGTTTTAACCCAGTGAAACCCATTTTGGACCTCTGGCCTCCAGAACTATAAGAGAATAAATGTGTGTTAAGCAACCAAATTGTTGGTAATTTGTTATAGCAACCATAGGAAACAAATAGAGGATGTAAATATTAAAAATATTGAATTTTCTAATCCAGAAACATGGTATATCTCTTCATTTATTTAGATCTTTAATTTTTCTTGGTAGTGTTTGATAGGTTTCAGTGTACAAGTCTTGCACATATTTTGTTACATTTATCTCTAAATATTTCATATTTTGATGCTGTTGTAAATGGTAGCTTCTTCATAAACTTTTAATTTTAGAATAGTTTTAGATTTATAAGAAAGTTGCAGTAAATGATATATATTTTAAAAATTTCAGTGTCCAATTTCTCATTGCTAGCATGTAGAAATACAATAATATTTTTTATACATTTATCTTGTATCCTGCAGCTTTGCTAAATTCACTTATTAGATTTATTAGTATTTTTGGTAGATTAATTAGGATTTTCTACATAGATAGTCATGTTGTCTGCAAATATCAGATTTACTTCTTCCTTTCAAATCTTTATCCCTTTTATTTATTTTTCTTGTATTATTGTTGTGGCTAGGACCTCTAGTACAATGTTGAATAGATGTATTGAAGTGGACAGACTTGCCTTGTTTCCTGTCTTAGGGGGAAAGTATTTAGGCTCTCACCATTAAGCATAGTTATAACCATAGATTTTTCATAGACACCCTTCTGTTCCTAATTTGTTTAGAGCTTCTGTCTTGAATGGGTAGTGAATTATGTCAAATGCTTTTTTCTGGAACTATTTAGATAGTCATATGTTTTTTCTTTTTTATTCTATTGACAGTGATTTACATTAGTTGACTTCGGATGTTAAGCCAAGCTTGCAATTCTGGCTAAACCACACCTGGTGATAATATAGTATCCTTTTTATATTTTGCTGAATTCAATTTGCTAATTTTTTTAAGGCATTTGCATCTATGTTCATGAAGGATTTGGTTTGTAGTTTTCTTTCTTGGTCAGGTTTAATGCTGGCCTCATAAAATAAATTGGGAAATGTTCCTCCCTCATCTTTTTCTGCAAGAGTTTTTGAAAAATTAGTGCAATTTCTTCCTTGTGTGTTTGGTAGATTTTTTCAGGGCCTGACATTTTCTTTGTGAGAAGGATTTTAACTACAATTTCAGTTTCTTTACTAGATATAGGGTTATGAAAGTACCTATTTCTTCTTGTGTGAACTTCCATAACATCTTTCTTTCAAGATATTTACTTGCATAAAGTTGTTCATAATATCCCCTTCTAATCCCTGCAATGTTTGTAGGATTTGTAGTGATGTTCCTGCTTTCATTCCCGATATTGGTAATTTGTGTCTGTTTTTTTCCTTGTCACTCTGGCTATACGTTTACCAATTTTCATGATCTTTTCAAAGAACCAGCTTTTATTTTCATTGATTTTTCTCTAATGTCTTTCTACTGTATTTCATTGCTGATATTTATCATTTCCTTTCTTTTGTTTACTTTTTAAAAATTTCCTTTCTAGGGGCCGGCCCGGTGGCACAAGCAGTTAAGTCTGCGCCCTCTGCTGCAGCGGCCCGGGGTTCACTGGTTTGGATCCCGGGCATGCACTGACGTACCGCTTGTCATGCCATGCTGTGGCGGCGGCCCATATAAAGTGGAGGAAGAGGGGCATGGATGTTAGCCCAGGGCTAGTCTTCCTCAGCAAAAAAAGAGGAGGATTGGCAGATGTTACCTCAGGGCCGATCTTCCTCACACACACAAAAAATTTCCTAGTTTAAGGTGAATCTTAGATTGTTGACTTCAGATCTTTTCTAATGTAAGCATTTGATGCTATAAATTTCCCTTAAGTACTGCTTCAGCTGTATTTCACGAATTTTAGTTGTATTTTCACTTTCTTTTAGTCCAGAATTTTTCAGATTTTCCTTGTGATTTTTTTTCTTTTACCAATGGATTATTTAGAAGAGGGTTATTTAATTTAAAAATATTTTGTGAATTCCCCAGATATTTCTGTTATTCATTTTCAGTTTAGTTTCATTGTGCTTAGAGATTTACTTTGTATGATTTCAATCCTTTTAAATTTGTTGAGGCTCATTTTGTGGCCCAGAATTCAGTCTGTCTTGGTCAGTGTTCCACGTGCGCTTGAAAGCAATGTGTATTCTGCTTTTGTTGGATGGAATACTTTATTAATATCAGTTAGGTCATATTGGTTGATATCTGTAGTAATTTTCTATGTGTTCTATCTGTTACTGAGAGAGAAGTGTTAATTTCCAATAATTGTGGATTTTTCTATTTATCCTTAATGTTTTAAGTATTAATATTTTCTACATGTATTTCGAAGCTTTGTTATTAGGTACCGTGTATAAATATTTACAGTTGTTGGATTTTCTTTGACAAATTGACCTCTTTATCATTATGAACTGCCCCTATTTATCCCTGGTAATGTTCCTTGTTCAAAAATATACCTTGTCTTATATTGTGGTAGGCAGAATGGCCCCCCAAAGATATCCAGGCCCTAAGCCCTGGAACCTGTGAATATGTTATGTTACATGGTAAAGGGGACTTTGCAGATGTATTTAAGGTTACAGTATTAGTTTCTATTGCTTCCATGACAAATTACCACAGATTTAGTGTGTTAAAACTACACAAACTTATTATCTCACAGTTCTGTAGGTCAGAAGTACAAGTATAGCATGGCTCAGTTGGGTCTTCTGCTAGAGTCTCACAAGGCTGAAATCAAGGTGGTAGCAGGGCTGTATTCCTTTCTGGAGGCTCTAGGGATTAATCTGCTTCCAACCTCACTTGGGTTGTTGTCAGAATTTAGTTCCTTGTGGTTGCAGGGCTAAGGACCCCATTTCCTTTCTGGCTGTCAGCCAGGAGTCATTCTCAACTTCTAGAGTCTGATTGCATTCCTTGGCCCATGGCGCCCTTCCTCCATCTTCAAAGCCAGCAAGGGCAAGTTGAGTCCTTCTCATGTTTGGAATCTCTGACTTCCCCTTCTACCTCATCTCTCCTCTTCTGCCACATCTCTCTGACTTACTCATATGCCTTCCTCTTCCACTTTTAAGGGCTCATATGATTACATTGGGGTCACCTGGATAATCCAGGATAATCTCCCTTTTCTAAGGTCAGCTGATTAGTAACCTTAATTCCACCTGCCAAATCCTTTCATGGTAGTACTTATATTCGTGTTTGACTGAATAACCATAGGTCAGGAACGTCTTTGGAATTCTGCGTACCACAGTTATGGACTTTAAGATAGAAATAGTATCCTGAATTGTCCAGGTGGAACCAATCTAATCACATAAGCTCTTAAAATCAGAGAACTTTCTCTGGAAGCAGGAGCATTATGGCAGAAGGAGAAGGCAGAAGAATTCCAAGCATGAGAAAGATTTGATATGCTCTTGCTGGCTTTGAGATGTAAAGGCCTATGTGCAGGGATCAGACAGAGACTTCTGGGATCTGAGGGCATCCCCCAGCTGACAGCCAGCAAAGAAACTGGGATCTCAGTCCTACAACCACAAGAAACTAGATTGCCAACAACTTAAGTGAACTTGGAAGCAGGTTCTTTCCAGAGTCCCCTGATAAGAGCGCAGCCAACTGACATCTTGATTTCAGCCTTATGAGACTCTGAACAGAGAAACGAACCAAGTCTGTCTGGACTTCTGACATGTACAACTGTGAGAAAATAAATTTGTATTGTTTTAAGCTGCTAAGTTTGTGGTAATTTGTCCCAGCAGCAGTAGAATACTAAAACAGATATTGATACAGTCACCCTAACTTTCTTTTGGTTAGTGTTTTATTGGTATAACTTTTTCTGTTCTTTTACTTTTATCTATCTGTGACTTTATAGATAGATAAAGTGTGTCTCTTATAGCATACAGTTGTCTTGCTTTTTTTTATCCAGTCTGACAATCTTTGTCTTTTAATTGGTATTTAGACCATTTACATTTAGTGTAATTGTCAATAGTATTGGGTTTTAACTACCCTCTTGCTGTGGCCTAGAAACTGCCTCCAGGCAGTAAGCTAGGACAATAATAAGAGTTTACCTCCTTTGTTTTATTTCTTTCTGCCATCATGGTCCTTCACTGCCTGTTGTCCAGTGTCTGAAAACTGTTGTTTCGTGTATTTTTTCCAGTTTCTTGTTTAAGGTGGGAAGGAAAACCCTCTTATTATTACATCAAAGCTGGAGTAGAAGTCCTCAACAGTGTAATTTCTGATTAATATTTTAAGGCTATCCTCTTCAGGAAGTCCCTTTTATGTGAAATGTGTGTGTGTGTATGCATAATTTATTCAGTCAGGAAAAGTATAATGTACTATAATTTTACTGTATATAAATGTGGCAGATGGCTGCCTTTTTAAAAGAAGAATCAAATAATTAGTAATAGAACTTGACCATATCCTGAACATGTCAACCTTTTCCAATCTCCATGTCTTGGTACAGCTAGATTCTTCTGCTTGGAATCATCTCATCTTCATCATCTCACATCCTTTGCTGCCTGGCAGATTTCCATGTATCCTCTGGAACCAGCTCCAGGGTTATCAACTCCCGGCTTCCCAGTGCCCCCAGACAGAATCCATATTTCCTCTTCTGGGCTCCCATTGCACTCTGCCCATAGCACCGTTATGGCACATGTCATGCTGTATTATAATTATATGTTTCTGTGTGGACTTTCTCCTACCAGGAAGCTGTAGAAAGCAGGGAATTTATTTTAGTCTTCTTTATGTTTCTCTTATCCCCTAACACAGTGGGTCTATTACACAGAACTTTTCAATAAACAATTGTTGAATTAATGGCTCTTTTAATGTGCTAAAAAGTACTGCTGTTATTACTCCCCATTTCAGTATCACATATTTGTAAATGTGAATTCTCTTTAATCATTTTACTTTTCTCCTAGTAAATTCCTCATCTATGCCTGTCTGCTGCTGTTCTCTGTGCTGCTGGCCCTTCGTCTGGATGGCATCATTCAGTGGAGTTACTGGGCTGTCTTTGCTCCAATATGGCTGTGGAAGTTAATGGTCATTGTTGGAGCCTCAGTTGGAACTGGAGTCTGGGCACGAAATCCCCAATATCGGTAATACTGCTTTATAAAACCCATTGGTCTCTATCCTGAGGGAGCAATATCATGTTTTTCACTTTTGTTAAAGTAAGGACTACTTTCTTTTGTACCTATCTGGGGTTTTATAAGAACTATAATACAGGCAAACTGAGTTCTAGTCTAAGTTAAAAAAAAAAAAAAACAGCTGAGTTCTAGTCTAGTTTGATATGCATTTTCTTGCAAAAGCAGTGTTATTTTGGGTGATTCAGATTCTGGCCAGCCCATAAAAGCCTGTGTAATCTAAAATACATCCAAAATGTATAAGTGTTATACCATGCTAGACGAGGAGGTGTGAAACCCTCATGTTTGTAGGAGCAGTTCTGCAAACAAAAGTTCTAGCTTTGGTCATCGGAGATATATCCTTCTCCAGTTCCATCCTGGACCTGGGCGCCTCTTGTCCCAAACCCCTAGTGCTGGGGCCCTAGGAGTGTGAACGGTATGGAGGAGGGAGCTTGGCCAGGAAAGTGAGCCCCCAAACAGAGAAAAATGAGGCCCAGGTGCTGCGGAGGAGAGCAGAGACTTTAAGGTTGGCAGAGGTGGGGCCTTTACCTTCACCTCCTCCGTGCCCTTCTGCCCTTCTTCTCAGATGCCTTGCTGCTCCAGGTTCCTGTGTGTGCGGCCTGGTGCTGCTGGGACCTCTGAGAGTGTCTCCTCTCTCCCTCGCAGAGAGTGGAACTGCAGAAGGGAGAAAAGGGGGTTTGAGAGTGGGGGGCTATTCTCAACCTTCATCAGGAAGATGGGAAATGAAGGAATGCCCATTGGGTGGGTGGGGAAGACAGAGGGGGACACATGCGGCTGCTCATGTGAGAAAAATATAGAAGTTGGGACCACCTCAACTTGTTTAATTCTTGGTTAACTTTAAAAACAGGATTTAGATCATGTAAAATACATTACCACATAGATATCTGAGAACTTTAAAATAGCCACACAAAGAGCCTTAGCAGGTGAGGCACATTCATGTGTCATTGTTTTAAAGTTATTAGATATTGTTTTTAAGATTACCTGTGTGACTGCAAATCTTTTCTTTTTTATGAGCTACTTTCAGGTATGATTGCTACTCAAAGAATGAAAAGTTGAATAACTGAAGATTTTGCATTCCACTAATTGATGTTTAGAAGCTATTTGAACTTTTCTCTCTTGGTTTAATTTAAGATATTTAGAGCAAGGAAAGGAATTGTATGTATGTAGTTGAATGCACTGAATGTACAGGTGTGGTCATTCTGGTGTCAGCAATATCCAATGGAATGCTGTTGGACCCTACAGAAATGACCACTGATGTCATTTTCTCTGTGTCCTAAACTCAGGTGTATTTAGCACCAACAAGACACATCATAAATGTTCATCTATATTTTGAATGAAACATTGCAGGCCTTCCAAATGCATTATTAAGCATTTTCATGATCAGTGGTCTTATTATTTTCAACCGTTAGCCTATTAAGTTCATGCATGATACTTAAACAACTAATTCAACTGATTTTGTTTAACTCTTTTGCTCTTCTCTCTTTCATCTGCAGGTATTAATTCATCCTAATGGAATAGAAAGGAAAATTAGAAGGCATTCATACTTTTTATTTGCATTTTAAAATAGCACCTAACTATGTTACTGTATTTTCTTGGAATATAACCCACACTTATTGATAAAGCTGGAGTTGTTTATATAGCATTGCATGAAATGTGATTTACGTGGTTTTTAATTCATTGACAGATGAGAATAATGAGATTTAAGGAATATTTGTCAGTTTTTAGCAGTAGAAGCAATCAGCTTGAATAATCTTAGAAGTAGTTGAATTTAAAGTTATGAACAATAGTGTTTATGTACACTGTCAGGAAAATGATAACCAGCTGTTACTTCTGAGAATATCCTTATACGGTTAAAACTTTAAGTCTAGTTTGGTTACAGTGTTCATTTCTTGTCATGTAGTATTTCTTTGATGTTTGAAAGATTACTTATTAAAGATTAAGTTTAGGTTAGCTTTCTACCTGAGTTTCCTTTGCTTTTTGTCAGATTTACAAATACAATTCATAGTATCAACATAAATTGGTATTTGCCTTGGACTGCTTTCTTCTAATGGAGATTCTGAACTGAGGGTGTTTTTCGTCTTCTTCTGTTCCTTTTTAGAGCAGAAGGAGAAACGTGTGTGGAGTTTAAAGCCATGTTAATTGCCGTGGGCATCCATTTGCTCCTGCTGATGTTTGAAGTGCTAGTCTGTGACAGGATCGAAAGAGGAAGCCATTTCTGGCTTCTCGTCTTCATGCCGCTATTCTTTGTTTCCCCGGTGTCTGTTGCAGCTTGTGTTTGGGGCTTTCGACATGACAGGTCACTGGAGGTGAGATTTTATATATTTAAGAATGTTTTAAGAAGTAAAATATTTTGGTTAGTTATTGTAATGTAGATTTCTTTCCCTTTATTAGGAAGACATTGATCATTACCTCTAGATCATGGTATATAAGGAAACAAAAGATGATGGAAATAATCATGTTTCTCTTTCTTGACTTAGAACACTGGTTTTTCACCAACCCATCAGGCTTCTTCCAGCTTTAAATCTTTCCCTGTCCACCTGTCAGGCTTATCCTGAGAAACAGAACCAATAGGGTAGATGTAGATGTAGATACAGGGATAGGTGTAGATATAGATATAAGGAGATTTATTTGAAGGAACTGGCTCATGCCATTGTGAGGGCTGACAAGTCTGAAATCCATAGGGCAGGCTGGCAGGCTGGCAGGCTGGAGACTTCACAGGAGTTGATGCTGCAGTCTGGAAGCAGAATTTCTTCCTTTCCAGGAAACCTCAGTTTTTGCTCTTAAGGCCTTTTAACTGATGGGTTGATACCCATCCACATTATTGAGGGTAATCTCCTTTAAAGTCAGTACCTTCATAGCAATACCTAGATTGGTGTTTGATTAAATAATTGGGTGCTATAGCCCAGCCAAGTTGACACATAAAATTAACCACCATCCCACCTCAGACCCCAAGATCTAGCACTTCATTGGCTCTCTGGTTAGTATACTCCCTCTGAATGATCTTGTTCACACTTCCTGCCTCCACTGCCACGTATGTTCCGTTGCCTTCTAAATTCACATTTCTAAACTCAGATTTCTCCACTAGCTGATGTGCCCATGTGTTTCTTTATTCATTCAGTAAACATTTATCAAGTATTTACTATATGCCAAGCTCCTTTTGCCTAAACGTAGGGGATACACAGATGAATAAAAAGGCAGTCTTAGCAATACTAATACTAGTAATGAAAATAATTGCAGATAGATTTATGGAGCAGTGCCTGTGTGCCAGGCATTGGGCTAGGCACTTCACATGCAGTAGTATCTTACTCAAGATTCACAACAACCCTGTGAAGTAAGTGCATCCATATTTTCCAGAGAGGGTCAGTAATTTGTTCTGGCCACTCATTCAGGGGCAGGGCCGGGATTCCATTTCAATCAGCCTGACTCCAAAGCCCATGCACCAAACCGCATGGAAGCTGAGGGCCCACAGCCCTATACAGATGGGTTGAGAGGAGAACTGGACAGTATGGATGCTTTGTTTTGAACTGTGTGGATCAAGAGTGGAGGAAGGAGACAGCAGTTGGGTTGGAAGGGAGCATAGGAGCTGGAGAGTGGCTCACAGCATGTGAATCTTGAGAGGAAGGTGCCTATAGAGAGGGAGGGTGATAAAGCATGGCCCCATGGGAACCAGAGGGAACAGGACCCTGAGCACCAGGAAGGGCTTGGCCTTGAACAGGGAGAGCGATTCCTCCACTCTGCTGTGACTCTGGTGCTGGGGGAGAGGGTGTGGGTGTGACTGGTGGTCGGGGTGGACTGTGGAGGAGGAGTACCTCTGAGGGCCCACTCTCACCCTCCCTGCACTTCCTTAACAGCCTCTTCTCCGCACTGCCCCCTCTGGCTGCTTGCCGATGGTATTAAAATATCACAAGGGAGTGCGATTAGGAAACAAATGTCTAAAAGACTCCTTGGGGAACAGTTCTGAGAGCAAGGTTGAGAAGCACTGAGCTAGGCCCTCCTTGCCCCCGCACATCCCCTTACATATCTGTCTCTGCATGGGGCCCTCCCCATCCTCTGTGCCCCAGGAGTCATTGAAGACCTTTGCCTGTCCATCCTGCCTGCTGGGGCAGGCCAGTCACACTCCTGCTTCAGACCCTCTCTCCTTCTGGTTCCTCTAAGCATTAGCTCCTGAACTTATCCATACTCTCTCCAGCAACTTTGGTCTCTCATCTGAAAGAGAAAACAAAATGCCAGCAGCAAAACACTCTCGGTCCTATTTGGCTATTGTGCCTTCTCCTTCCGTTCACAGAAAGGCTACCTGAAACAGTGCTGCTCTGACCTCGTGCTCCCTGCTCAGCCCCTGTGCTCCCTGGAAGCTGGCACTGAGAGCCATAGGGCCAAATCCAGTGCACCCTTTTCAGTCCTCAGCTTTTCTGGCCACTGGCCACTCTCTAGCTCCTGACACCCCTGGTCCTTTGACCAGTCTGGCCACCTCTGTCTTCAGCTCCTTTGCTGAATTCTTCTTCCTCCTTCTGCTCCTCACAAGTTGCTGTTTCTTAGGATTTTAGTCTTAGGCATTTTCTATCCTCACTTTGCATACTCCCTCTGAATGATCTTGTTCACACTTCCTGCCTCCACTGCCACGTATGTTCCGTTGCCTTCTAAATTCACATTTCTAAACTCAGATTTCTCCACTAGCTCCAAACTCCTTATCTACCTTCCCCTGAAGCTGTATTCCCTACATTGGTTATAGTCATCCTTACCTCTCTGCTTTATGCCTCTGTCGCTTTGTGTGCTTTTTCTATTACCTGAGCAAACGAAGTCAAACTGAGTTTTAAAAATCATTTACAAAAGCTTACATTAAACAAAATCACTGAGATCAAACATTCTAGATGTTACCTATTTGGTTCAGCGTTTCTCAGTGTGGGTGGGGCATGTGCTCTTGGCCTTTTGGATAGGAAATGTTTTGTTGGACAGGACTGTCATATGCATTGCAGGACACTTATTCCTGACCTCAGCCAACTAAACACTAGTGGAGATATTTGCCCCTGCCTCCAGTCTTTGTGATGTCCACTAGTGCCCCTTCTCTGTTCCTAGCCCCTCCCCGGGCAGCAGTGTTGCCCAGGTTGAAAAGCACTGAGAGAGTTTACTAAATATGGTTGGATAGGGGCTGAGGAGGAGGTTTAAGAAACTAAAAATTTAGAACTTTGTTTCTTAGAAAGTAAAAGCATATGCAAGGGCTAGGACTACATTGAGCATGAAACCTTATTCTCCTAATGCAGAGTTACAGAAAGTAAGTCATTTGTGTAGTCATGCTCCTGGTGTTCCTACCTACGAGGAGAAACACCGTGCTTAGAGTTGGGCTCCTTCTTGGCTCTTGTGTCCCAGGAGGAGGATCACCTATGTTTGCTAGAGCATGACTGGACAGGCTCACACAGAGACTTGAGGGAGGAGTCAGGGTTTGCCAGGGTGCCCTATGCAGGTAGGGAAGTGGGTGATATTTTCCAGGCAGAAGGAATAACTCATACAAAGGCATAGAGGCAGGTGAAAAATCTGTCATGTTGAGTGTACTATGGTGGCTCAGATAGGACTGGAGCACAGTTTTGCAAGATGCCAAGAGTTCTGGAGATGAATGATGGTGATGGTTGCACAACAATATGAATGTACTTAATACCACTGAACTGCACAGTTAAAGATTGTTAAGATGGTAAGTTTTATGTTATGTGTATTTTACCACAATAAAAAAAATATGCCTGGAGCATAAAGTGGAAAGGAGGGAATTGTGGCATTGGGGGAAAGGGAGGCTGTATAGAGGGATTGGGCTGAGTAGGGGCCAGATCCTCAGTCCTCAAAGCATGTGCCGAGCTGCCCCAGGGTGCCATAGTGAACTCACAGGGGCTCCATGGGAGTGGATGTTTTTGAGGGAAAAGCAGTGATACCTGACATCTGTGGGATACCATATGAACTACTAGCTCCAAGTAGTTCACGGTGTTATTAATTGGTCGCACTACATTCCTTTTGGTGATGTCGTAGAAGAAGCTGGGTTGTTGGCAGTTGCTGTGATGAGAAGGTAGTACTGTGGACAAGTCCGCGTGGAGAGTAGGTAATGAGGGTGGAAGTGTCTTGAGAAATGGTGCAGTGCCCAACAGGCACACACATCCCCTTCAGAATTAGTTGTGGTTATTTAAGAATGAAATAAAAGTAATATTTTTCTTTCGATTTATGTGAGTTTTTTTTTTTAGATGGCTACTTGGGACATAAATACTTACTAAGTTTGGATCTAATTACTTAAATCAGTGGAACAGTTAGGTATTTCTTTTGGCTCAGAGGCCTTTGAAAGAATTGCTGAGTCACTAAATGCTCTGTAAACTGAGAACTTTGGGAAGCTCTGGGCCAGATCAGATGGCTTCATGTGATTTTCATTCTGTAGGTGGTGGTGAATATTGTAGCCAGAAGGAATACCGCCTGGAGGGCATTTGGGAGCAGAGAGCCTTCAAGACTGGAAGCTGGGAGACTAGTCAGGGGGCTGTTGGAGCGCTTTGGGAGGGTTGGTGATGAGGAAGGCCTGACTAGGCAATAGGAATGGGGATGGAGAGCAGGCAGGGGATTCAAGAGACATCTGGATGGTAGAGAGGACAGGATATGGTGATTTAATATGAGAGTGTGGGAAAAGAATGATAGAATGCTCTCCGGTGTTGTGGTTTGGGTAATAGGCCACTGTGGTAGCCTACAGTGAAACGGGAGGCTGTCGAAAGGAGTGGGACAGGGTAAAGGCGGCATGGGGGTAATGAACTCAGTTTGGGTCTGCCTTCATCTGAGGTGCCTCTAGGAGAGCTGGGTCTGGGCAAACCAGGGGTGTGGATGACATTTCTTCTCCCCCACCCCCAGGGCAGAGCGAATGAGCAAAAGCATGTGTGTTTGTGTCCATGTCTCTCTAGTGGGGAGAGAAGCTTGAATTTGAGGCTCTGGGGAGCATCACCATTTAAGGAGAGGAAAAGGAGACTGAAAAGGAACCATCAGAGTACCAGGAGGAGGGCAGGGCTGTGTGCTGGGCTCCTAGCAGGAGGAAGGAGTGTTCAGCACCATCAGAAGCTGCAGAGATGCCCCAGGAGGGTGCGAACTGAAGTGGCCTGATGTTGCAGAGGTTATTGGCAACCTTGATGAAAGCAGTTTCTCGGTGTTCGTGGGGGTGGAGGCCGGATCACAGTGCGTGGAGCTTGGAATGGCAGGGAAGGCCATAGGGGCTTAAGTATCCACGATGTCTCACAAAGCTTGATGGTAACAGAGAGAGCTGGGGCTAGGAGGGAATACTGGGTCAAGGGAGGGGTGGGTTCATTTGGTCTTGGGGTTGTTTTGTGTTTAATGGGAATGAGTTGAACTTGTTTCTGTGCTTCTGGGAAGGATCAGTGGAAGAGGCGGGGTTAAAGATGCAGTAAAGAACCTATGATTGATGTCTTGATGTGACAGAGTTCTCAAGGAGCCAGAAACGAAGCAGTGGGATGCAGGGCCCAGTCCTGGGTACAAGAAGAAGGAAGTACGGGGATGGTTAGGAACAGAGATGTCTGTGGGTAGGGCCAGGAAGGAGGCTTGGGGAATCTACCACAGATTACCTCTATACTTGGCGAGCCTGGAAACAAGGTCATTGCTGGGGCCAGCATAAAGGGAAGGGCAGCCACTGAGCAGAGGGGACGAGGCCAGAGGCCAGTGACAGGTTTCTCCTTGGCACAGCACTGGTTCCCTCCTCCAGTGCTGAGAATCAGGAGGTCCCAGTGTAACTTCATGAAACTTCTACTGCATTATAATTTCCACTGCCTTTTAGTGTATTAGCCAAATAATTGCAGTATCGAAGACAACTTGTACTTTGTTTAACTGATTCTTCTCTTCATTTTTAGTTAGAAATCCTGTGTTCTGTCAACATTCTCCAGTTTATATTCATTGCCTTAAGACTGGACAAGATCATCCACTGGCCCTGGCTTGTATGTAACTTTTTAAATCCTTAAATAAACTTTTCTTTTTTATTATAAAAGTAATTCGTGTTCATTGTAGAAAACTTGGAAAAAACAGACAAGCATAGTTAATAGAATAATAATCACTCATAATCCACTAGGAGATAACAGGTTAGTGTTTTTTTTTGTTTTGGGGTTTATTGTTTCATAAATATAGTTGAAATCATACTGCATATATAATTTTTATCCTGCTTTTTTGTTCTAACGTTGTATCAAAAGCATTTTCCTATGTCAGTAAAAGGATAAACATAACTTTTAAAGTTTAATAGATGCAAAATATTCTTCCAGTGCATTTACCAAATCATTCCCTTGTTTCAGAATATTGAAGTTGTTAGCAGTGTTTTGCGATTATAAATCATGCTGCAGCATATATTTTTGTGCATAAAAAATCTTTGCATGAATTTTTTTTATTGTGTTCTTAGGAAAGACTCCAGAAACAGTTTTACTGGGCCAGGGGGTGGGGACTTTTTGAGATTTTGAAATACAAACTGCACTGCCAACTTGCTTTTCAAAAAAGCTGTGCCAATTGACACTTCTGCCAGGGGTGAGGTCTAAGTCATGCTTGTAACCTGTGGCTTCAGTTTATGGGTGTTTCATTAAAATTGTGCATAGATAGATAGAAAGATGGATGGATGGATGGATGGATGGATGGATGGATAGGTACATACATATATATACATGGCAAGCTGCAAATTAGAGAATACAGTATGGTTTCAACTATTAATGCATAGAAATAAGATGAGAACAAAGGTAGAAGAGTTACATTGCCTATGGGGCATAAGCTCATGCTAGGGGTCTGGGTCCCCCCCCCAGCATCTTGATGTGTACTTTTGCACATAAGACATTTTCTGTAATGAACATGGTTTACCTTTAAAAAAAAAACAAAATTAAAAAATATATTAAAAAAAGAAAATACTCATTTGGCAATAGGGATGAAAATAAGGGAACATAAGTCGCCTCCATAATGCATAAAGACAAGACTCGTCACTTCTGCCCAAAGTCTTTGATATAATATTCATAATAAAAAACATTTTTCAGGCACCTATCCTACATCCTCAGGGTGCTGTATCTGGAGAACAGTAATTGGGTTCAAAACTTTTTGTTGTGATGTGGAGGAGACAAATCTGGATGAGACCAAAATTTTAGTGTAAGGTACAATCAGAAAAAAAGATTAGGAATTGTGAATGTTTTCTGTAGGTGAACAGAGGGATTTTCCAGCCCCAATTCTGTGCAAGTCCCAGCAGCTGAAGCAATCTGATTGCATGCATCACAATGATCAAGAGAGACCAAGTGAGGCTGTTACAGTCACTAACATTCCACCCACAAGGGGCATGCCGCTAAATGAGAGTCTGATCACAGAAGTGCTTTAGGAACACAGGGAAGAGGCTGTGCGTAGACTTTACAGCAAAACCTATAATCAGGAACTCTAAGCTACTCAGGAGGATTAAAAATCATATACTAACTCAAGTCATAGGTCTAAAAATAAAATGTAAAACCAAAGAACTGTTAGAAGGAAACAGGAGAAAATCTTTAGGCCCTGGGGTTAGGTGAAGAGTTCCTAGAAATGACACCAACAACATGGTCAGTAAAAGAAGCTTAACATTGAAAAGAAATTAATGAAAAAACAGTCCATTGACAAAGAGAAAATATTTGCAGAGCACATGTCCGGCCAAGAACGTGTATTCAAAACATCTATAGAACTCTCAAAACTCAAAAATAAAAAACAAACAACCTAACTTAAAAATTGACAAAAGACTGGAACAGACAATTCACAAAGAGGATATACATATGGTGAATAAACACATGAAAAGGACATCATTACCCTTTATGGAAAGGCAAATAAAAACCAGTATGAGGTACCACAACGCACTCATCAAAATAGTGAAGATAAAAAGCATAATATCAAATGCTGGGGAGGATGCAGAGGGACTGGGACACTTGCACATCGCTAGTGGGAATGCCAAATTGTACAGGCTCTCTGGAAAACGGTTTGACAATTTCTAATGAAGTTAGACATGGAGTTACCATATGATCTAGCGGTGCCAATCCTGGGTATTTCCCCTAGAGAAATGAAAACGTACAGCCACACAAAAACCCGTGTTGGAGTGTTTGTAGCAGCTTTATTTGTGATAGCCAAAAGCAGGAAAACACCCACATCTCCTTCCCCGGGTGACTGGATAAACAGGCTGTGGTGCATCCATCCATTGGATCACCACTCAGCAATAAAGAGAAATGACCTGTGATACACGCAACAACCTGGATGAGTCTCAAAGACATTCTGCTGATTTCAAGAAGGCAGTCTTAGAAAGTGACATGCTGTATGATTCCACCTACATTACATTTTTGGAAAGACAAAAATGTAATAATAGAGGACAGATCAGTGGTTGCCTGGTGTTATGGGTGGGGTGAGGGTGTGACAGAGTGAAGGGGCAGCACGAGGGAGTCTTGTGGAGTGAAGGAGCTGTCCTGTGTCCTGCCTGGTGCTATGCAGATCTCCACATGCCTGCGTGAAAAGTCATATAACTGTACACCAAATGAAAACAGCCAATTTTACTGTTTTATAACACAAGACAAAGGGATAACAGACGTATGCAAGGGGGCAGTGCAGGAGGGAGAAAAGGTCACACAGCGGAGCCTGGTGAGGCCCCCAGGACTTATCCTGTGAGCTCGTGTGGGGGCGCAACAAGGTCTTTCTGGTACAACAGCAACAGACACGGAACCCACCTGGGTCAGGCGGCAGGGACCGGGTAGCGAAACACTCCCAGCATCAGTGTGCAAGTTAGCAGAGGGCCTATGCGCCTTGGGCAGCCAGTTTCCAGGGGGCACATCCCCCAAAGTCTTTGGCCAAAGTGCCTCTGGCAAGATGGGGAAATGGCCTGTGAAGAGGGTATGTCAGGGTGAGGTGGGGCGAGTGTGCACGGGGTGGTAGTACTGCCCTGTTTCCCTCCAGCGCCGGGGGTGTGATGCTGACAGAGCCAGGCACAGGCTGAATGAGATCATACCTGAGTGAAGAGCGGTTGCCAGGCTTGTCACTCTAAGAGTGACCCATGACAGGGCACTTCCCGGGCTGGCGGCAGGTCCCACGGGGAACGCCTGGTGTCCTCTTCCCCATGCTGTCCTCACAGCAGTCCACGTTCGTGCTTGCACTGCCTTACAGAGGTCAGCAAGGGGTTGGCTATGCCTCCCCTCAGATGCTAGGGTGCAAACTAGAGAGATATTTCTTTTCTTCTTCCCTCAGGTCGTGTGTGTCCCCCTATGGATTCTCATGTCCTTTCTGTGCCTGGTGGTCCTCTATTACATTGTGTGGTCCGTCTTGTTCCTGCGCTCCATGGACGTGATTGCAGAACAGCGAAGGACACACATAACAATGGCACTGAGCTGGATGACCATTGTCGTGCCTCTCCTTACTTTTGAGGTAAGCTTTCAACAGCAGAACTCTTCAGGCCCTGCAGCACCCCCTGCATACCTATACAGGCAGCTCACTCTCCCTGGAAATCACCGCACCAACTCCTGGAGAGCACGCTGAGAGACAATGACAGTAAAATTAGAACATCCTTTCTTTTGGCGGGCTGCGGGCTGGCAGTGGGAATTGCACCTTTCTACCCATGATGCATCGCATGTATCAGTTTTTCTACTTCTAGAAAGAGAAAGTTGGATGTTGTATTTTCGTATTTGTGTTCTGTGGAGAATTATAGAATAGGCACTGTTAATTCCTCCAAACACCAGGAGGAGTTTCCCATAACAATCCTGGCACTGGAAACTTGCCAGGTGGACGGATTTTGCTTAGTTGTGAGGAAGGATATCAAAGCTTGTCTCCTCATTTCCCCCGGAACAGAGGGTTTCTGTAGTCTCCTGTGGAGCTGACTTTCCTCCTTATGAGACCTGACGAAGGAGGGGTGGTCTGGTTTCAGACATTGTTTGTTTACAGGTGCTGCATCAACAGAACGTCTGACTGTTTCCTTTCTTTTAGATCCTGCTCGTTCACAAACTGGATGGCCACAACGCATTCTCTTGTATTCCAATATTTGTCCCCCTTTGGCTTTCCTTGATCACTCTGATGGCAACCACATTCGGACAGAAGGGAGGGAACCACTGTATGTACTCAGCATTTCAGAAGCCCTTGACCTGTGTGTATGTGTGTGTGTGTGTGTGCGCGCGCGTGCGTGCGTGCGTGCACGTGGCCCTTCTCTATGAAAGAATGAGCCTGAGGGCCCCAATTAAGGAGTTTGCATGGGAAAGCTAAGGCTAAGGAAGGTTTGGAATCTTCCAAAGGAAGGGCATGCTGTCAACCTTGCTTTCCCTGCCCTGCACCAGTCTCCCTAGCGGTGCACTGTGAGATTTGAGGTGGGACTGACCATGGCAGGTAGACTCTCTGAGCCCCGTCCCCTCTGCTGTACCATGGGGATCCACTTTCCTGGGGGCTCCTGAGGATTAGATGAAAATCCACGTCACCCCTGAACGCTGGGAGTCCTCCTAGGTTCTATGTCCTCCTTGCTCTTCCCAGTGTCATTCCTGACGTCACCAAGTCTTGTCAGTGGCACCCTGCTTGCTCTCTCTTCCTCTCCACCTGCATGCTGTGATACCCAGTTTTGAAGTGATCTTTGACAAGTGTCCCTTCTCATTAGCCAGTGAGCTTCTTTGCATGTAGCCCCAGAGCATGCTCTTCTGCAACTCCATGGAATGGGGGGGTTGCACCCTGGGAGAGCCAGCAGTGAGCTCACGGTCCCGTGGTACACAGAGAAGAAGAGCGGGTCTTGGAGAACTAGCTTTGAGGTGGCCCCATGAGTTCAGGCCACCTCCTGGCCTAGACCAACATGTGTCTGCCATCCTCCTAGATTCCACAGGATGACGGAAATCCTTTTCTTGGATGACATTCTTTGTCATACATGAGTTTATCCCAAGCAGGGAAGATTAGAGGTTGTTGACATAGTCTAGACACCATAGGTATTTGAGACTCATAGAGCAGTAGCTCTCAAACTGGAGCACCCATGAGAATCCCTAGGAGGGCCTGTGCAAGCAGACTACCCTGCCCCAGCCACAGTTTCTGATTCAGGAGGTCTGAGCTGGAGCCGAGATCACATCCCTAACAAGGCCCAGGGGATACATACAGTCGCTGCCAGTCTGGGAGCCCGTCTTGGACAACCACAGAGCTGCGAGTCTTACTTCTTGCCCTTAGTGGGTATTTAGGCCTTGTTCAGTCTCCATTCCTAAGACATCAGGGTAAAGCATTACGTTGTACAAGTGAAATTTCTCATTCAGGAAAGTAAAGTAACATGAAATTCAATGGAGGCTAGTGGTTGAAAAAGTACATTCTTCTTTTTCAGGGTGGTTTGGTATTCGCAAGGATTTCTGTCAATTTCTGCTTGAAATATTCCCATTTTTGAGAGAATACGGAAACATTTCCTACGACCTCCATCATGAAGATAACGAGGAAACTGAAGAAACCCCAGTTCCAGAACCTCCAAAAATCGCTCCTATGTTTCGAAAGAAGGCCAGGGTAGTTATCACGCAGAGCCCTGGAAAGTATGTCCTCCCACCTCCTAAATTAAATATTGAAATGCCAGATTAGACACCATTTCCTGGGACAGAACGTAAGTGGACTGGTACGCACGCTCTCTTCTACCTTCCTCTGCCTCTTTATTCACCCCACCCAGAACTGGAACTGGAGCTGGGTCTCCGGGTACTTCCATCTCATGCCTTGTTTGCACTCAATGCCTACCAGTGACTCACCACGACGGGACACACAGGTAGCAGGTGACTGGAACGTGCGGTGTGGTGTGGGGTGTCTGTCAGTGGATGTAGATGCAATGGAGGGAATGTGTGTGTGAGAGGGAGAAAGCGATCTCCCTCCAGGCGGGTGCCTGAGGAACTGGCTTGGACCCATCGAGGGCGGCTGATTAGGCCAGAGAAGGAACATCTACATGGCTGGCTTTCAAAGTGCTAAAATTCCCATCAAAAGTGTTATTTGAAAATGTATTTTTAAACCAGGCCAGCCTTGCTGTGCAGCTCAGATTCTCCTGTTGTGGCATAGTCAGTAGGAACTGTAAATACACCTCTCTGGCACCACATGTGTATCCACGCCGTCATACTGTTCGTGTTCCTGCTGTGGAAGAAGTTTCTCTTTGGGCATGCTGACAGCAGTTTTTAATGGCCCCATTGGTGAGCCCTTTCTAATGGAGTGACTCCGTGCCTGTATAGTATTTATATGACTATTTTAGCGTTGTAATATACCGTGTTAAATCCTAGTTCTGTACAGTATATTCTGTTAAAGTATTTTTTTACAAGCTTGTACTGGAGAAATACATGTTCTGTTGCAGAAGTAGAAACCAATGGTGGCACGCCTGTCCTGCCCACTGGGGTGCCACCCCTTAAGGGGACATCACCATTCCCCCTTGAATTTCTCCACATACATAGTAGCTGCTACTGCCAGAACAGCCACAATTAGCAAGAAATGGTTTGTACTTTTCTAACATTCTGGGAATACTGGCTTGCAAGAAATCTATAAAACACGAATTGAAACTGGAACACTGGAGAAAGTTGCTGAGACTAGAAACAGACAGCAGAATTGTATGTATGTTAAGGTCTGAGGCTTTTTGTCTGCCACAAACAAGAATGGTTTTGGCTGGGCCCATGCCTTTATCTAGGAGTACAGTTGCTCCAAGAGCTGCTGGTACAGCCCTGAGTCAAAGGGGAAGAAAAAAGATCCTACAGAATAAGAGCCTTCTGCCTGGGAACAAGTGGGCCATTTTTTAAAGGAGAATAAAAGGAGCATTCACATTCTCACTGAGGAGAGGGTTTAAAGCAGGCAGTAGTTAACTTCTCTAAACCAAGCTCAACTGATATCCACCACATACATGACTCTACCCTGGCATCAGCCCCCAGCAAGCCTGTTCTTTCTGGGAGAGGGGGGGGACATTTGGAATGGTGTAGCCTTTCCTGCTTGGTGTGTAACAAATGTAGCTCAATTCACTATTTTTGCTCCCTTTAGCTGTTCAATAAACTGGTTCCTCATTTTCCATGTGCACTGTGTGGGTCTTGCTTTAGATACAGTCTGGGACCCTGAAATTGTTCTCAGCCAGCAAGAAAGGAAACCTGTAGCTGCCACGAGTGGCCGAGGCACGCAGGGCTGGGGGAAGATCTCTAATGAGTCTTCAGGTAGAGCCAGAACATACAGTATGTAGAGGGAGAGGGGTGTCAAGGAGATTCTACTGTTGGCTAGGGAACACCGTGCCGCATTGTTACAGCTTAGGAGCCTTACGAGAATGTTCTAAGGTTTGAAGACAGTCTAAACCTGAAATTGGCTTTTTAGTGGTCCCGAGGCATTCCCCGGTCACATCAGTGGCTGAGTATTGCTTACATTTAAATAAAATACTCTGTGATTTGTGTCTAGCTTGCCCTAGCTGTTTCTACATTTTCATGGGCACTTAACTCTGGTGGTATTTCAGCCCATGGTTTGCAGCAATTGACAAGGAAATCCGCCACTTGCTGGTGATAGAATGATTTCCTGCAGGCAGCCAGAGGCTACAGATGGATCGTTTCATAAGCTCATTAGATTTCAGACTTGCTATTGGGCAAAAGACCTTTTTCAGTAACCACAGTAGCTGTGACTTAAGTGTCAGGTCCCTTGCTACCTGCTGCACGTCCCATTGGAGCCTCAGGACCCCGTGAAGCAGGTGCTATTACCCCCATGAGGAAACAGAGGGTCAAAGAGGTTGAATAAGAGGCCCAAAGTCACGCAGCTGGGAAATGGCAGGGCCGAGATGCCAATGTGGGCTGTCCACACGCAGAGCCCCTGCTCTCACCCACTGGGCCAGAGTGCCTGGGCCCTGGGCTGATAATACCTCAAGTTTGGAGGCATTTCTGGTTCACGGAAATCCCTGGAAGATCATGGAGCTCGGTGCCCAAGATCGAGTGGGGGCGTCAGTGGAGGTGGCCCTGCATGTGGGGAGAATGTGCTAGAGGGGCTGCTCTGCATGGCCGTCTCTTAGTGATTCTCCCAGCACTACACCCCAAAGAAGGATTGCAGAGCTCAAACCCCGGGAACAAACCAGGCTGAGTGTCCCTGCAGACGTTGGTCAAGGAAAGTAAGCCATGTGTGAGGCCAGTGGCTAATGCCCTGTCACGCCATGCCCGGGAAGACATGGTATATAACGGTGTCTGCCTGTGGGGTGGGGGGGCACAAGTGCAGGCTGAGGAGAGGCAGGAAGAAGGCTGCCTTCTCTTCCTCGTCAATCTGCTAGGTGGTGGTGGGACACTTAGCTAACCCGTTCACCCAAGCAGCAATCTGCCATGTGCCTTCTGGTGACCAACAGCATGGGTGTGTTAGGAGGGTCTCTGTGGAGCACCTGGCTGTGACAGTAATAAAAGGATGGTATGGCTGCGCCCTTGACCATGGACACCCGTCCTGGACTTTGCTCAGTACTTAAAAGCACAAATCTGTCTTGTTCAGGGCCCTCAAGGCCAATGGACTCCGAGAACGAGCTCTGACCTTCTCTAGTCGGTATGTCAGTGTGGGTCTGGGGCCCCAGGAGCTCGAGGACGAAAAGACAGTTCATGGTTTGCACTGAATGTTTGGCCTGTTACTTTAAAACCATATCTGAGTGTCAACTTTCCCAGTGAGATGACTGTGTGTGGACCAGAATGTTGGCATGCTGACAGGTCATTGTATGGCCTGGCCCTATATTATGTCCCTTGCTGGCTGTGTTGTGATGTCACCCCCAAGTAACATGAGCCCCTTTGTGATGTCCTGAGCTGTATTGTTGTCAAGGGGTGCTGCTGGCCATGCTGCACTCATGTGTACTTGAAGGAAGGACACGCCACCAGTGAGTACATCTAGAGATGAGGAAAGTCATCTGACAGCCAGGGGCCTGGATCGGGATGTTGCATTTTCCTCCAGAAACAAGGGCTCCCACAATTGGCTCAGAGAGCTATGCTCCTCCGGTAGACCCTTCACTCACCCTGACCCAGCTGGTGTCAGCTGGGCTCCTTGACTTCAGGCAGCTGCTTGAAGAAACTGCTTTCCAAGCTTTGACTGAAGAGCCTTTGTTCCAAAGGCCACACACATCTGTAATGCCCTGTCAGTGGGTGAAGGCAATCTCCTCTCTCTGACCTTTCCTAAGAGGCTGTGGAATGTCGTCAACAGCAATCAGTTTGCATCAGTTTGGTGGGACGATGTTGGGCCTTGCATAGGTATCAATGAGAAACTGTTTCAAAAGGAGATTTTGGAGAGAGATGGCTGGAACAAATTGTTTGAAACAGACTGTATGAAGAGTTTCATCCGTCAGCTTCACCTCCATGGGTTCAGCAAAATGCATCATGATATTCACTCATCCACCTGCCTTACCAATTTTTTTCACCCACGGGAGACCTGTCTATGTCCTGAGCCAGGTAACGGTGGACAAACCTCCCAATGGGCTGAGCTGGTGGGCTCTGGGGTGGCGGAGTCGGGTTGGGTGGAAATCCCAGAACTGCCTCTTGGGAACTGGGTGCCCATTTCCACTCCTGGTGGTGGTGATGGCGACTATGAGTTAATACGGGGAAAGGGCTCCGACTGGTGCCCAGTGTGTCTGGAGTGCTTTATTAAAAGATACACGACTTAATGTACAACACAATGACTACAGCTCACACTGCTGTAGGGCATATGTAAAAGCTAGTAAGAGAGTAGATCCTAAGAGTTCTCATCACAAGGAAAAAACTTTCCATTTTCCTTTTTTTGTATCTGTATGAGATGATAGATGTTAACTAAACTTACTGTGGTAATCATTTCACAATACATGTAAGTCAAGTCATTATGCTGTATACCTGAAACTTACGCAGTGCTCTGTCTCAATTATATCTCAATAAAACTGGAGAAAAAAGATGATACTGTTGAAACACTGTATCTTCATGTCCTCCTGTGCGAGGACCGATGTCACTGGGGGGTTTGTGTGCACCTATGACTGCCATAGCTCTAAACCATAACTTAGGTGCGTGTCCAGGTCCATTGCTGTGAAATAGCCATGTTGCTTGGCTTGTCCTGGGGAAGCGGTAGCTCCAAAGCACTTTTTGAATCCTGTTGAAGGTTGACTAAATGGGTGTACTTCCCATTGTCAGCGGGCCCCCGACGGCCAAGAGCTAGTGGCTCCCAGCAAAGGGGCGATTCTGTTGCCAGCTGACACTTCCTTATAGGGACGCTGAATCTTCTTCTCTCCCCGTCTGCAAACTCCAAGTCCCCTTTCTTTGGACTTGTACACTTTCTAATTGGCCATGTTTAGTCATTTTCCAGGGGTGAAATGCAAGGCATAAGTTAGTGAATCTTGAGGATGTAAAAGTTAGTGTGCAGCTTCCTGTTGGGACTGTGACCTCCCCCAAAGAGGCCCAGGACTGCCGGACTAGATCGCACAGGGGCCTGGATTGTCCTTGCTAGTTGCAATCAACTCTTTTGTGACTTGGAGTTTCTTTTTCTCTTTAAATTTTGAACCTCATTTATGGTTTGACTGCAGTCCCTTGTTTAAGAGAGACTGCCCTCACTTTCTCATGAGGATGAAGAGGAGAGTGGGCATTAAAGCTGCACTGAGGCAGGTGGAGAGCAAACCTGAAGCCCTGGGATTTCCACAGCACCCACAGCCACCAAGCCACGAGACGACCTCCCAGTCTCTAATGAGGACAACCAGGAGACACCGAGCGACTGAGAACTTGACAACCCTACCTCCCTGATTAGGAGTAACTCTGCCCTCCCAGCCACTCTTGAGATGGCAGCCAAGCCCACTGTGACGGATCCCGATGCCACAGTAGACCAGCCGGCCCACAGCCAGCCCAAGGGCACCCAGGCTCCTGTCACTCTTGTGGCAGACGTCGCCACGCCGGCTGAGTGCCCCTTGGTCTGTTTCACCTTGCCCTCCATCAGATGAATTCTTGTGGGCCGGTGGCGGCCTTGCTGCCGTGCCTCCCAGGTTCCTCAACATGCCAACCATGCAGCTCCCTGTGGCCAGACTGCCTTCTTTGTGCCACCCCTGGATGCCCATCGTGGCTGCTGCGCCTGCCGCCCCCATGACTGAGATTCCTCATCCCCCAAGTCCATTCCACTGCTGTCCCGATTGCCATTGTTTCCCGGAATACCTGCCACCTACTGACGGGCCCCCAGAGTACCCAGACGTGCAGACTACAACAGATAAAGGCGGTCATTTTGTCACAAAACATGCAGGTCAATAAAAAGTATCAAGAAATGAGCGACGTTCTGCTGAACAAAAGTGTTCATTGCCTCTGTCATGTTTCTTTCTTGGCAGTTGAGGACCGCTCACATATCCTCTGCTTGCATGCGAAAGAATTGAACATACCACCACTCCTGCCATAAGGCAGGCACCTAGCAGATACTTACATGAGCCCCTCAGACATTTTGCATCCACTTTAAAGTGCTTGACAAGTACAAGAGCTGAGCATCGGTGGCCTAATGATAACAATGACACTGTTTCCCTGGCCATCCAGACACAACTCCCTGTCGTGTTGGTGCCTTTGTCTAAGTGGATCTTCATTTCGCAAAGGAGAAAAGATCAAGTCTCACCTTGCAAGAGGGCTAACAAGTGCCCTTACTGTTCTCCGGCATGCAGATGTGAAACAGACAGTCACGGCCAGACTCCTACAGGTTTTCACTGTACAGGGTGCTCCTTGGTGTCTGCACCACACAATTTATGTTTGGCTTTTACTGCACGTGCTTGATCTGGTGACTTTTCCTTTTTTTCTTCCCTTTCATTCTTTTTTGTTTTCCCTTCTTTCTTTTCTGAGCTAAACAATTCAAGGGCGTCACGTTTCAACTTAGGAGGAAACCTCTGGTTGCTGGGGTGTCTGGCTCATAATACATGCTCTTGTCAATGAGCCTCTTTAAAGAGGGTTTGTCTTTGTGAACATAGGAAATAAATTTCCACGTTCTTGCTGTATAAATAATTGTGTGTAGACACCAGAAGAGCTCCGAAATCGGATGGAGGAGAGGGAGCAAACGCCAATCCACCAGAACCAAAAGACACCACTCCCCCTTATTTTTGATTTGACAGCAGGTAGAGAGCCCTGTGAGAAGGGGGACAAGTGATAAGATAATGCACACGTGGCAGTGGAGTGCTGGAGCATTGGTAATCCCGGGTCTACCTCTGGTCTGCGGTGATTCTCCTTGCCCCACCCTGCTCACTGAGAAATTGACACTCACAAATGGGTGCTTATCCCAATAAGATTTGTTAATTTGTGAACTCCTTGACTTTTAAGAAGTACATTTTTTTCATCTTTATCTTGGACTTCCATATGCCTCCTGATCTTGAATCACATGGAGATGCTGCTATTTAGAAACCACTTACCTATAAACTTAAACCCATGTGAGACTTGCTTAAATGTAAATCTACGTAGAAAGGGGCAGATGTGCAGAGCTGTAATATTGAATTACCTGCTTTTCAAAAAGGGCATGGTTTTATTACAAAATCTACACGGCATGATGTCAGTAACAGACCAATTCCGGAATTCATCCTACCGCTTAGTCATTTCTAGTTTTTGAACCTCACATCTGTTAACTGAAATTGGCTGACCTCGAGCCCTCCTGGGCTAGGGCAGAGGCAGCATTCTAAGCTCACCCAGGAATCAAGGGAGCCTGAAAGGCTTTCATGGGCTGGGCCACGACAGCCAAATAAAGTCTTGAAAACAACTCGTGCTTAGGGGACCAGAGGAGGGACCAGGCTGGTCCAGAGCACTGGATTTTACTTTTGTTCCCAGGGCATCTTAGGTGACAGT